TCCTTTAAAATTCGATTGGTATATTTTTTAAATTAAATATGTTTTTTTGAATAATAGAATTAAACTTTAATATCTTGATTAATTCTCAAAAATGATTCTTGGCTTGGACTTCAATATATAATGATAATTAATAATAGTAAAATCTAAAGTCTAAAATAATAAATATTCTAAAGAATTTTAATACATCAAATAACTCTTTTAGAATTGGCATTGAATAGTGATTAGATTTAGGCTTATAATTAATTAGATTGTAATCACTACATATTTATTTCTCCATCTAATTGCCAAAAACATCCTTTTTAAAAGGCATAATTATAGTTCAATCATACTTATCATTGAAAAGTTCAATCAAGTGTATAGCTAATGGCTCTTGATAACAAGTCTAGATGCCAATTTTTTCTAAGAAATTAAGTCTATAAGATCATTAAAAGATAGGATGATCATCTTTATAAGAATTTGCTTATATAATAAAAAAAAAGATTTTGAAAAAGAAGTTGAAAAAAAATAAAATAAAAGGAGACTTTTGAATTTTTAAGAATAAAATCCTTCTTAAAATATCATTATTTTTAAAGAAAGAATTAATACATTCAAATTTTAAATCAATTTTTTTGATATTTCTTCCTCCTTCCTCCCTCTTTCTTTCTCCTCTTTATTCTTCTAAATTTGTTGTACATATGGATTTGATTCTAAATAATAACACATCTTCTAAGTGGATGTAAATAAGTTTGCATCTATAGTCTTTGAGGTCTTCAAGACTTAAAACAAAATAATTACAATACAAGCAATTAAAAGCTTGTAGTTTTTGTACTTCACTTCTAGTAAGATGTGGCCTTGAATCTAAAGGCCACTCTTTAAATTCTTTGATATCATTCTTTACTAATGAACCACCATTGCATGTCAACACAACCTTTATCTACTATTCTGCAAAAGAAACAACTCATATACCTCCAACATCTCCAAAAAGAAGTATCTTACAAAAAGTCACTTTATTGATATTTTTCTAAAGTCATTTTATTAAAGTTATTTTATTTTTTAAGGTAATATTAAAAAAAACATAAATATATTCATTGATTTTACTATAAATCAAGTCAAATAAGTATACATAGTGTATAAAGTGTCTTATTTTTCACATCAAAAGTCTTGAATGCATTGAATTTAATCAAACCTTAAGCTTTCATATTCATTCTTCAAATATTTTATAAACACTTAGAATGACTCAAATGATAGTAGCTCTTTTATTGCAAATAATTTTTTTTTCATTACTTGAATCATTAATAATAAGGTGGATTTGGTACTGTTATTTGAGGCTATTGCTATTAGCTTTCATTTAGTAACTTCTAAAGTTATTCTAACTTTTTTTTAACTAGTTCTTTTTCTTTCATTATAGAAATTAAACAAGAGATAATACTCTCTTTAAGAGATGAAATAAGTTCTATTATGACCTCCAAATAATTTTCCATCTCTTGCAATTTAAGTGAGTGCTCGTTATCATATCTTCCATAAGTCTAAAATACCTCATTCTCTAAATATTGTGGTAATATTTCAAAAGTACATCACTCAGTAAAAGTAAAAGATCTTTGGTATTTTTTTTTTTCATTCAAGTTTGAAATTTAGGCTCCAATTGTAGAAGAAAATGCTCCGAGCTTGTCTCAAGAACTGATTTCTTACCATATTCTAAGAATTATCCTTTATCTTATAAAATGTGTCGTCATTTGAGATCAAAACTCTCTTAGTGGTATCCAACATTGTATTATGCTGAAAAGCCTTGTCAATATTTATTATTAGCTCAATGTCTTAGATGTGGTTAATGTCTAAGTAGTCTAATGAAGAAAATCAACAATATCAATTTTTAGCATGTACTATAAAATGATAACTTGAATACGTATAATTATTTAAAAGCTTAAAGGCAACTTGTCCCAACCACCACTATTAATCTTTGTAATTCAATGATAATCACATCCAAATCACTATAAGGCCAATGTGTCAACAAATGAATCTTGTTGACTATTAGTTCAATTTCATCTTTACAATATGTCAATCAATATAATCCACTTTAACATAGTTGGAATAATATTCAAAGAAAATCTTCAATAATAATACTTGCAATTAAGGAAAGATACCAAAAATAAAAACCATAAATCCAAATAAAATCTTTATTTTCAATAATATATAAGAAAAATTCACAAGTGAATCAAATAAGTAGTTTATACTTATGGTTAGAAATCACAAATTATACGTAAAATAGAGCAATTAATGGCCACAAATCACCAAATTTGTAATAGTAAAAGATAAAAAGATAAAATTTTAAATATTAAAAAAATAATAAAATTAAAAGTCACTTAATAAACAAATAACATTGAATAAATGCCACTTAAGTATCATCCAAATTACCTCTAGTTTATAAATCTAGCATACCATTCACCTTTTTGGGTAATTTTTATACAAGAAAAATTCTAAAATTGTCAAATTTGAATTCTATATGCTCTTAGAATGATCTTCCAAACTTTGATATTTAGAATTTTGAATATATATATATATATATATATATATATATATATATATTTTTGTAAAAAAAATCTTATGATTGTATATCTTTGCCTATGACAATGTAGTCCCTATCATTATTTTATTGCCATATAACTGTATAGACTCATTACTATGAGTTCTTATAACTATATAAATTCTATTATCATGTATTGTAAGGTATTGCCAAATGTCATTGGTTTTAGCAAATTGATGCAAAAATCCTTTGCTCTTACTTCCACATGTCTTTATGTGTTGTAAGCTACTTGCCATATGTCACAATCTAAACTTCAAGGTTGGAGTTAATTCATGACTTGGTCAACAAGGAGCTCAATCTTCACTCTAGTGTTATTTTAAAGCAATATTAGAAACATCATATAAAAATCCAATAATTATTTGGCTTGCTATATATTTTTTATACAAATATGTTGATTTTTTTTTTTTTTTTTGATGGCCTTTATCTTATGGACTTTACAATTGTTTTTACAAGGCTGTAGCAAATGCAAGCAAAACAATCTACTCTTACTTCAAATTGCCTACAAGATCTTGTTGTGATCTCAACCACCATGGTAACTTGACCTTAAGAATGTTATTATTACATGCTTCTCTTTACACTACAATCCAACCAATCAACCATTGCCACACCGCACTATATTAATAAAAAAAATAAAAAGATAAAATAATCACAAATTGGCAGTGCAATTCTAATTTTGAATACATTAATTGTCTTTGTTATTATTTTATCAATTGTTACAAAGAGTTAAAAGAGCTTATAAATGAACATTGACTTTTGTAACTTCTATAACCATGTTGATATGAAAAACAAAATTGAAGCAATGCAAAATAATTAACAAGAAAATAAAAAAGTAATCAAAATTGATTGTTATTCTTGTTGTTAATAAAAAAAAATGTAAGGAAATTTAATAAGAAAATAAAAGAATTTAATTTATCATATAAGATTCAAAATTTTAATTATGTCAAAAGAACCAAAGATATTAATTGATAATAATTTAAAGAAAGTAAATTAGAGAGTAGCAATAAAATTATTTCTTGATAAAATCTTAATTAATATAAAAGTAAAAAATAGTAATTTTAAATAAATATTAAAAATATATGATGTATTAAATGATTTGCATAAGCGCCAAATTTATGACTAAAAAAGAGATGAGAAATTGAAAAGTGGTATGTCTTATCTTAAAAAATTGCATACATTTACAAATAGAGGAATTATTTATTTGATAATTTTGATAAAAGATCCATTGAAAGTATTTTGTAGAGTTCACTTTTTATTTTTATTTTTAATGCAAGTCTAATTAAATGCATTACCAACAAATATATGCTTGGAAGCAAGTAAGGTCTTTTTAGAGATGGAATGTTTGGTAATTTTGGTGGTATTTATGGTATGTCAGGAATACCTAATAGATGTTTGTAATTCAAGTTTTTTGGTGATGATATCCCCTAATAATCAAAACCTCTTATTGTGTCAAATGAACTTCTTTGTAATCTAAAAGAGTTTTATGAGAAGTATACAAGATGAAAACCTTGTAATGAATAATCAATATTAGCATCAAACTTGTTTTACAAAATAGAATCTTGTTATTGGAATTGAATTCCTAAAATATATAGATGATGACAAATCAAACTTTTAAAATGATTTTTTAATACCATACAATGAACTAAATAAAGCAGACAACTATAAATTAGATTCAACACAATTATGGCATAAGTTTGGACTAAATTGTGTACATTTATTCAGTAAAAAAATATATGAACAAATGCATAGAAATATAAGTTAGCTTTTGAAATTGGAACTTGATTTCTCACATTGTCATATCTTCTCAAAGCTTTACTATATTATAGCATTAAAAAAATCAATTGAAGGATTTTAACTTTATTTGATATTATTTATATTAAAATAATAATAGAAATGTAACACATATATTTTTTTATAGGGCAATATATTTTAATTTGAACAAAGGAGTTTTTTATTTTTCATCTCACTCAATTTTATTGATAAATTTATTTATTGGTTATTTTTTGTACACATATACAGTATTACATATATATGTATATATATATATATATATATATATATCCACACACACACACACACACACACAAAATAAGCACATGTCAATACCATGTTGGTGTGATAAAAATGACTCTTCAGGCACACTATGACATGTTAATGAAATGAAAATGGTATCCAACTTGTTCCAATTTTTGTATTTAATCTTTTTTTATAAATATAATTTTTTGTATTAGTTGAGCTGATCACTATCATGTATAAAGTAGAGAGGTGAATGTTTATTTTTATCTAACAAAAGAAACCAGACGTAGGGAAGCGAAGCCGAGGTGGCGCCCAGACTCTCTTTGCATGAGGGGGTCCAGGTGGAAAGAGGTGGGTGGGTGGGTCCCAGATGGCATGACGGGGTCGCATTCACACGGCATCTGCGACGCGCCCGATGTGTGCAGTGTGGTGCTTTGGCCCTGCCCTGCCCAGCCCGGCCCGGCCCTCTGCCCGCGCGCCCGCACCTCACCGGGTTGGAGCCAGGCAACGCATTGTTGTTGTTGCTGCACTTGCTGCTCCTCTTCCTCGTCCCTCGTCCCTCGTCTCTCCTCCTCCCCCTCCTCCCCCTCCTCCGCTACTGCTGCTGCTTGGCTTGGCCTCGCCCTTGGGCTTGGCTTCGCTTGCTCTCCACTGCTCTTCTTCGTCTGCTTCTTCTTCTTCCTCTTCTGCTGTTTCTGCAATCGATCACTTCGTGGAACTTTACTTCGATCCTCGCAATCCCGTCTTGTGGAGGCTATTTCAAGTACCTTTCCTCCGTTCGCACGCAGACGAGTCCGCAGAAAGGCGGAATCACGTAGCGTGCGAGCGAGGCTTCTTCAGCGGAGTTTGGGAGTTTGTTTCGGTGGAAAAGGTTGAAGGGAAGAGGAGGCGCCGGGCGACGATAGCGAGGGCTCTGGAACCATGTTTTTGTTCGACTGGTTTTACAGCGTGCTTGCCACCTTAGGGTTATGGCAGAAGGAGGCCAAAATCTTGTTCCTCGGCTTGGACAACGCCGGCAAGACCACGTTGCTGCACATGCTCAAGGATGAGGTGAGGGCTCCGTTTGCTCCCAAGGATAGTTAGAGATGGAGAGCGGGTTTCATTCACGGGTTGGGACTGTGCTGGGCTTTCTTGTTTATTGTTAAATTTCTCTCGCGGTGCTGTCGAGAGCATGGAGAGTGTTCTGTGATGAGGGCTGCTGTGGAGGTTAGATTGTGATGGAGGTTCTTGATGAAGAGGGTAAGGGTGAGTGTGTGTGTGTGTGTGTGTGTGTGTACACACATACGCGCGGAAGATCTGGTGTCGGAAAGGAGCTCAACTCGGTGCCGGATGAAGTTGGTTTATATTGGCTTAAATATTTTTTTGACTTTTTTTGCTTTGCCTTTGCCTTTGCCTTTGTTTTATTTTCTGTATGTGCTGTTCTTACAGTGAATTTGAGAGGAGGTAGTGATACTCTATGGAGTGGGCCGTAAGTTGTTGAAAGGCTTGTGCATGAGACTTGAAATGTTTTAGTGCTGAAGCGCGATAATTGGTGCGATTGTGTAGCGGCTCGATCAAGTGGAATCGGTGGTTCTTTTCTTTTCACTAAATTGCATCCTATTGTGGTGACACAGAGGTTGGCCCAACATCAACCGACGCAATATCCTACTTCGGAGGAGTTGAGTATCGGAAAAATCAAGTTCAAAGCATTTGATCTGGGTGGTCACCAGATCGCCAGGCGAGTGTGGAAGGATTATTATGCCAAGGTTACAATCTCTACTTATGGACCCTCCCTTTTGTGCGTCAGCAGTGCGAGATTGATTGAAGGATCACGTCTAGTTCTATGGGTTGATAAGAGATGTAGATTACCGTGGCAGGGTGTAAAGTGCATTTATCTGTAATAGTCTGCAGTGGCTTCCGCTGGGGTACATATGTTTTTGTAAATAGGTCCTTAACAACTATTTACGTTCTGCGTGCTGTGGTCAAAGACATGGTCAACCAGGTGCTACGAAATTGTTTGGATGCTAATTAGTTCAAGCAATTGGTTACGGATGATGTTGTTTTCTTCCAGGTGGTTCTTCGTGGAATTTTGGTTTTGTTGACACTCGATGTTGTTCCCTCACCCGTATTCTTTCTTCTCTCAATGCACCTTGTTTCGGTTATTTATAGGTTTCATGATTACACGTGGTGGCAGGTAATGCAGTGCTGATTAGGTCTGTCCTAGGTTCATATTTGTATTGACCTGATTGTGCGATCAGTATCAAAACCCTAATTACCTCAAAGCATTGAAAGTGTTGATTGTGTGCGAGAGAGCACGTGCTAACGCTTTGTTGTCGTGTATAGGTCGACGGTATCGTCTACTTGGTAGATGCTGCTGACAAGGAGAGGTTTTCGGAGTCGAAGAAGGAGCTGGATGCTCTGCTGTCTGACGACTCGCTTGGTCAGGTGCCTTTCTTAGTTCTCGGGAACAAGATTGACATCCCATATGCCGCTTCGGAAGATGAATTGCGGTATTCATTGGGTCTAAGCAATTACACTACTGGCAAGGGCAAGGTGAATCTGGGAGATTCCAACATTCGACCTATTGAAGTCTTTATGTGCAGTATTGTGCGGAAGATGGGCTATGGCGAGGGCATCAAGTGGATGTCACAGTACATCAAGTAGTTTCTGACAATAGGTGACAAAGCTTGGAGCATAAAAGGTCTAGAGGGTTTTTTTGTGAGAGAAGGTTGCAGTTCGGTGGATATTATGATGAGTTCTTGTTTCGAGATGGTGCATTGTAGGGTGGGGCTCGAAATGCTTTCTTCGTACAAATTGTAGACGTCATTTAGTATTACTTTGGACTTCGATCTATAGATGTTAGTCTGTCAACGCCACTGGCATGCTCACGTCATGCTCTGGGTGGGTGCTTTTGAGATACGCCTTTTGAAGTAATGATTTTTGTTTTAGCATATGGAAGATCAGTTTGTGGTAAGCTGTCAGGTTCGTGTCTTGTTTCTTCATAGTAAAACAGATTGAACTCCTTAAGGTTGTCTAGTTACTGACCCGAACGGAGAACTGAAGTGCAGTCTGCCTCTCTACCAGTGAGCAGCGAGGTTGTCGACGTGCTTCGGGTTAGTAGCAAGCGTAGCAACAGTGCCGATGCTTTACATAGGGCAGGTGTAGTAGGTTCCTTAAACTTGTTCGGCTATTTGGTAACGCTTTCAAACCATCCTGTAAAATCTATTGCTTTTAAGACACTGACTCAGTTGGGTATCGTTGTGCCACGAAATAAACAGTTATGAAAACAATTAAGGCTAATGATACAATCATAACAGCGTCTGCTACAGCTTCGTTGCTGTACGACTGTGTTTGGCAGCAAATGGTTGATCACGTTTTGTGTGTGAGGGAGTCACGTTTTGTGGTGCTTCGTATATTATTACCTCATTGACTCGGGTGGAGACTCGTTCTACATGTGCCCCAAAGGTGATTATTTACTTGTACCCAGTGAATTCTGTAAAGGTCTTGATTCTAAGACCATTACAAAAAGCATCAAGAACTGATGATAATTCGTGTGTTTCATTTAACATACGAAGAATGAAACGTGGATAGGCCCATTACGGAAGCATATTTAGGTTTCATAAGCAAAAGTTTGTGTTGTGAGTTGTAATGTGCTAATAATTCATCGATACCAACATTTTGAGCTAGTAATGTGCATAATTGAGTTACGTTTTTGCATAATATAAGTTATTATCTCTTCGGATGCCAAAAGAGACTTTCTGTTCTCCAACACAGAACTATCTTGGTATCTGCATTATGGAGGCATTATTGATTGAGTAGGAAAAAGTTGTGTTCTGAGAAGAAGCTAAAAGTATCAACACACAATTGCTATCAAATGGAAGCAAATTTGTTGTAACCTTTTTTGAATACATTATAACAATAGTATGATGACTTAATGCATGCCATTACAAGTCTTTTGCATATTACATTTCAATATTTTGGTAATAGTAGACAAATTGAGATAGTGGATGCATGTGGTGTCAAATTGAGCAGTTGTGTAATTTATTTTTGATGAGTGATGCATACACTATATGACAGCAAAAATAATTATATTTGATCAAAGATGACATTTTATGTATATATATATATATATATATATATATATATTTTTTAAGTTTGTATTTATTTATTTTTCACAAGAAACACAATTTATAAATATACATATCCTTTCAATGTATATATGTAGAATTAAGAGTGTTGTTAATGTCATGGCAATTTCTGTTACTACCACCACAATCTGCCATCTATTTGACATATTTTTATAGCTTTTATAGTTTTTTTTTTTTTTTTTTTTTTTTTTTTCCAATCAAAATTTTTGTTCAATAAAATTGATAATAATAATAATAAAATAATTGATTTAAAAGATGTTGAACAAAGGTGGTTTGTGGTAGATAGAGAACAAGGCAACAATAATGTGGAGGCATTAGCAATGCCAGAATTAAGACCATACAATTAATTGATTTGTTGATATTGAAATTGAAAACTTGTGATTTAGATTTGGAGATGAGATATTTTCCTAAGAAGTTAGAGAGATGTTAATACTCAAAAAAATCAACATTGTAAATACCACGATTAAATGGGTTAACAAAAAAAAATCAGTTTCATTATTTTTAGAATATTTACAAAAAGTGTTTGAAATAGTTGTGTAGATAGAGTTTGTCTTTGCCACTTAAAATATTTGATACATGTGTTTACCACATATTTGATTCTTTTAGCAATGATGTCAATTTTTGTAGAAATATTAAGCCCAATTTCTCATTAGAAATATAATTAAGCATAGAAATGAAAATTCATAGAATTGATTTTTTTTTTGTAAAATAAATTGATACATTCTTCCACAAAGTCACAATTTCTTTTAAACCAAGGAGAGTAACTTATTAATAATATAACATACATAAAAGGATATAAATAAAGATAAAAGATGTCATTACAAAACAACAAAGAAAAGAAAATACTAAATGTATGTCATTTTTTGTTTTTATTCATAATATATATAAATATATCTATATATATATATATATATACACACACAAATAATTCTTCTCTATGTTGAGGATCCTTTGCTGGAACGGAAAAAAACAGATAAACTTTCTACAACTGTAACAAATAAATAAAACCATGAAAGAAAGAAAGAAAAAGGGTAACGTAATCATTCAAAAAAAAATTACAAGTGTAGTAGTAAAGATAATGAACTGAGAAGAATGTGGAGAATGACTCACTCACTTGCTCACTAGCAACAAATGAAGAGGAAACCCATACATGCACACACGGTGAAATGGGGCAGGTGCGGGCATGGGAGCAGGGCACGGAGAGAGGACACGGAGGGAGCGTCGGTAGGTGAAGGTTCGGCGCAGCATCGGTAAAGACCGGTTCGGTAAGAGGTTCGGAAAAGAGGTTCGGAAAAGAGGTTCGGAAAAGAGGTTCGGAAAAGAGGTTCGGGAGAGGTTTGGAGAAGGAAGTCATGCAGAAGAAGGCGGAGCCTGGGGGAAGAAGGGAAGGGAAGGAAAGGGCGAGAGAGAGAGGGAGCGGGGCCACAGTTTCGCAGCAAGCAGGGTTTCGTAGGATGAATGCCACATAATGTCGTGACCTTCTCCCCAATTTCTCCTCGGCGACGCTTGTTTCTACCGATTCCGATGTTGATTCCGCGATCGATCGCCCCTTTCTGCAGGTTTTGTCCTGGTGGGTCGTGCTGATTGCGTCGACTGGCAAAGGCTGGAGGAGGTGGGTGAAGTGGGCAGATAGATAGTCGGAGAGATTTTGCTAAGGTTTTGATTCTGGGTGAGAGAGAGAGAGAACGAGAGAGAGAGAGAGAGAGAGGGTGGAAGCGGTTAGGGTATGGTGGTGGAATGTGGTTTTAAAATGGCAGCTTCCAACACGCTTTCGAATGGGCACTCCGTGCAGCGACGCAGTGGCGGTAACGCAGGTGGCGCGAGCCAAAATAACAAATCTGTGTTGGCGTTCCAGTGCCAACTTGAGCATCACCAGGATTCTGCGCGTTTGCATAGCAATGGCAACTGCGGAGAGAACAAGCAGTATCGTGGGGATTTTTTCAGCAGTAAAGATCCTGGTCGTCGGAAGAGGGTATGTTGTCAGTCTACCGCCTTGAATCCGTGTTGGTGGCAAGTCTCGTGGCACTCTTTCGGGTTACACATGCGATGAATTTTCTGGAGCCTTCGGTGGCAGCCTTAGATGGCTTCTTCAGGTTGGTGAAGTGGTGATAACGGTGTGATTTTCGCCTTCTTGGGGCCTTTGGTGCAGATTGCTTATCGAGTTGTGATATTAGGTGTTTGGATGTGAGTCCATCATTTTTACCTCTTTCATTTGTCGTGTGCTTGGAGCTTCTGTGCTTTTGAGGCACTAATAACTTGAGTTCCTGTGCCGTTGGAGATTGTCGCATTTCGAAAAGTGCCGGCAAGGGTCACTGTCTAAATGGTGTAGCATACGTGCGTTAGTTATACTTATTCTAAAGTGCCTCACTAGTTTGCACATGAACTTGAGGATTTTGGACAGAGTTTTCCATCACAATACGAGTCTACACGCACCTATATGTATCTGATGTGCGTAACTTTAGGTATTCTCATAGTTACGACGCTGCGGATCTTTTGTGCGGGTTTCTTTTACTTCATTTTGTACTTTACTGTACAGAGATGGATCGCCTGAGGGTTTTGTTGCGCATCTATGGTCCAATACGAAGTACAGCGAGAATATTCTTTGTCACCACTGACTATGTATCAGTCAACCCTTTTGTTTTCCACACATTCAAGCCCCAGTTTTATGCTTCAATTCACACCCCCGTGAAGATCTGCTTCAAGATTTTGAGGCTTAATCTAATCAGTATACACCATGCACGCATCCTAAGGCAGCCATCTCGGTCAGGAATAGGGTGTGCTTCGAGAAGTACGCAAGCATGAGAATGCCCAAGTTTGAGGAAGAGTAGAGATGTGAAGAGTCACGCGCTGTCCTCTTTGTGTTCGATCAGGATTAAGCGGAGTGGCTTGGTGTTTATTTTAGGTTTAACAAAGAGTCAGGATATTTTTATTGATTTTGAAGTCTAGTGGCCAAGCCTTTGTGCCCAGTCCAATCCTATTACACAAATACTTGCGATTTACATTTGTGACTGATTTTTTCGAAATGCATTATCCAATGTTCCTACAAAATTGCGGTCTTTTGTTGTCTTTTTGATATGTAGGAGACCTTAATATAGTCTCGTCTCCTGATGGATTGTGGTGGCATATTAATTGGTGTTTGCACGGTTCAGTCTGGTGCGGGTTTATGTTTCCCTACTCATCACAGTATCTACCAGAAACTGTCGCCAGCGTTTGTAAGATCATACTCTCTTGGGGATTGAGGAAGGTCTTGGTTTTAACTAGACCCGCAATCGGAATTGTAGCAATACACTTCTCTGAATTCCTACTCTGCGGTAGTCACTAACACTGCAGATTTGGAATTAGGTGTATGCAGGCATGTCGTCCTAAATAAAATAATGTGACAGGAATCATCCCTTCGAGGTTCTTCGAGTATTAAAACAGTACTGAGAGATGATTTATGTGTTCAGGGGAACCGGTTTGCCAAACTGAAGCAATGTAAGCTGGACGCCCGCAGAGAACAGTGGTTGTCACAAGGTTCACAAGGTAGCTCCTCACATGTAGAGCTTTGAAATATTTGTAAGAGAGCAATAGTAGGTTGGAGGTTATCCTTCATTTGCCGGGCCTAAAATTTCGATTTAGGTGTCTTGTGCGTAGAGTAAGCCCTTCGTCTTGTTCTTGATGGTTGTGGACCTTATTTATCGCTAGGAATGGCAACTGTGGCTGCGCTCTTTTCTCAGAGTCTCGAACTGCAGAGTTTTTGGGAGACATGCTCATCTTTCCACCTAAATGTCTGGCAGTGGTGAATGCAGCCGTATAACTGAATTCTCTTACTTTTCTTGTTTTCCATACTGTTATGTGGCACTTCGAGTGTGGAATACAATTATGTAACGAAATGTCTGAAGGTAGGTTATGTGTGCATGTGGTTTGTTCTATGAAGCGCGTTTAAAAGATTTTTCTAATGGATTATGTCTTGGCAACCTGTGTGCATGTTGTCGCCTCCATTTTCGTAGATGGTAATATAAAGTTGAGTGGTAGTAGGAGCAACGTTCTTAGCGAAGTTACTCATAACCTCATGCGTTCAATATAGTGGCAGGTTAGCAATTCTGTGGTGAGTTTTATGCTTGACTGAATTATGTCTTGATACATCCTTGATGCCTCTTTCAGGAAAGCAATGGAATCCCGAAAAACAGCTACAAAATAATCAACTACCATATCAAAACTGCGAGCATCATCACAAGGTAGGGGATGGAGAGTGCATGCCGCAGGAAAGAGCAAGTCCGTCGGGGCATACTCGAAGTCAAAGCTTAGGCTCGATTGGATCGATGAGTGAACGGATACCTATATTTTCGCTTGCGTCACAGTCACGGTCTTCAGGCAATGGTTCGAACAATGAAGTCAAGAACCTCAAAAAAGAGGCTCCTGCAAGAAGGCAGGATGTTTCTTGCAGGGCACCGAAGTATTTTGGGGATGAAGAACTGGATGGGGGAAGTGAACAAAAGCAGGGCCCAAAGCATTTGCGATCAAGTAGTGATATAAGCAAATTAAGATTCAATATCTCTGGTGCAAGTAGCAGCTACACAGGGAGTGGTTCAGAAGACCATGATGAGCCTCACGATGCGGATGACGACTGGGAATCTGCTTTCGATGCATTGCATATACAGAGCTCCCAACATCGACCTGAAGCGTTGCACAAATGCCCTGGTTCTGATCGTGCTCTGCATAGTGAAGAGAAAGAGCAGCACGATAGAAAACAGAACGGTGCTCATCATTACAATCCACATCATTCTGATATGCAGGGTGCTCAATTGAAATCCGATTACAAGCACAGGAATTCCGGATTTGGAGGCAGGAGAGGAAATGGTGGAAGGGCTTGGCGTCCTGACGATGTATCTCGACCGCCAACTTTACCGACGCTTGTCAAGCAGCACACGTACCCAAATCACTCCGGCAATAACAACCACCAAGGTTGGGGTCATGCGCATGGGAGTACTTGGGAAAATCAACAGCCATCACCATCTTATTGCCCTATATGCACAGAGGAGCTTGATATGACAGACTCATCATACATGCCCTGTCCTTGTGGCTTTCAACTCTGCCTGTTCTGCTACCACAGAATCGCATCCGATGATGGGCGTTGCCCAGGCTGTAGGAAGCCGTATAGTACTGACGTAGCAGTCAAGCTGTCCCAGTCTTCCGCTGTTTGGCTACGAGTATGATCATTCACAGTGGTGCATGCTTCTCTTGTGGAATGAGTGGAGGATTATATATGTTATGTGCGTACCATAGTGGTACAGGTGTGAGCGAATGGGTGCGACAAAGGCCTCCGTTGCGTATCGGCTCGGCTTTTACAGCAATGGCATATGCTTGTCTGCTGAGATGACTTACGGCTTTGGTTTTTTGGGGCATTTATTTTGCTAACCAGATAAGTTAGACTGTTTATTTCAACTGTTGTGAGTCAATATAGTGCGATTTACCCTTGCATTAACTTAATACTCTTTCAGTTTAATTAGCAAAAACTAGTGTGTACGTTCAACGCTAAGATTTCAATAAACTAGCGTTCACTTATAACATCATTCTTTCGTTACCTTCATTATATGTTCATAATGGCATACTAACTGATTATGATAGCTTAAAATCACCACAATACTTAAATATTCGTGATGATGAACCTAACTTTCATCGTGTTTCTGTCTAATGTGCATTCACTACGTTAGATTTGTATTAAACGTAGTAGCGGGCTGTTACGTACTGTTCTAAATCAGTGTGCCTTGCACTACTGTGTGAGATGTGAATGTCCGTAGTCCTTTTCATCGTTGAGATCAGTGGTTGCTTTTTTCACATGTCTTTGGATCTTAGTCTTTGGATCTTTTCGATCTGCATAGTGGTAGTCCACGAACTACTCACAGGTGGGTCACTGGTCGAAAGTTTCTTTCTGTTGATGAAAGCTGATCTTATAGGAAGACTGAGTTATTGGTGTAGACCGAGTTGAATGTTCGGAAGGAGTGTGTGGATCCAGGTGTAGAGTTCGAGACAGGAGGAGCAGCCTGTGGACGAGGCGTGACCCTGTTTGTTGGGTGTTGATTATCGGGCACCACAAGAAGCCATAATTTCCACCACGCCATGGGATTTGTGTGGAAACTAGAGGTACCTCGGCAGGACGAGAAGGTGATGAAAGGCTGCTTTTCGAAGCCAACCTCGTATTGGTTGATCAACTCCTGAAAGATCCTGTAAGTGGCCAACAGCTGATGTGTCTCGCCCATTGCTTGAATTTACTCTTTCGTTTTTCTTTTTAGCTCTTCTGGGTCATGATCAAAAGTTAGAATATTTAACTTACTCATCTACACATTAAGAAATATGAAAAGAAATTGCCCAAGTGCGTTTGTTTATTGTATCAATAGTCTTGCCAATCATGGCAACTACCATTTCCAATCTGCGGTGTTGGTGTTACGATCTATATATACACATCTATTTTGGTATCAATACTAGTTCCGTTTATTCTCAAGTGAATTCAATTATTATGTATATGTGTTTATTTTTTGAAAGCAAGGAATGATATACTATAAGTTTATGTATCATTTCGGTAAAATATTATTATTTATTATCAAGTAGTCATATTTAAAGCACGTTTGCAGATTTGATTATTCCATGTTCATTCATAAATCACAATTTGAATTATATGCACAAAAGTTCATGTGAACTAAGGAATCCAAATGTGAAACAAACGTATAAAGCTTAAACTTGGACATAATCTATTTTTGGGTAATGTAAGGCAAAATTCAATTTCTTATGCATGCATGTAGAATGATATACATCAAAAACATTCACATTCATATTAATGTAAATAAACAATCAGATTTAACAGAGAAATGTATTGATGTATGTCTTCACGTTTGGAATAATCGAAATACAGTAAACTCTAAACACTTCTGTTGAAGAATTTTGAAGAAAACATTCGTCATTAGTCACAGATTTATATTCTTTTTGCCAATTTATGTAATATTTCGTTATTAAAAAAAATCAAGCAAAAATACATAGTTGTCTTGATAAATTTAAAGATCAATTGGACATTAGAGTTACAAAACTAATATGTGGACATTTCCGACTTTTTATTTAGCACAAAGATTAAAAGTTGAGTTATTTCATGTAATTCAATAAGAAATAAAATTTAGTATATCTGATCTTTTAAAAAATATGTTAGAAAGGAATTGCTTGCATTCCAAATAAGGGGATTAAGCAAGCAGTAGTAACATAATTGTTTATCAAAAGATTTTTAACAAAAAAATTATCTTATAAAAAGTTATTATGTAGCAATGTCTTCTACCAATAGTTTTGTTAAAACACATGTTAATAGCCAATATGTTAATAATAATGAGATGATAATATTACACACCCCAAATACAAAACATTGCAAAATATTATATTTGTAACTTTTTAAAGCTTTAGACCAAAAACTTCATTATCTTTGCACATCCAAGTTGATGAACATAAAACTATAATAATTTTTTATTAATATTTTTTTTTATCATAAGCATGCATCACTCTGCAATATTAACAATTATATAGTTTCAAGCAAACTAAAATTTATAAATCAAATTTCGTTTGAAATTTATAAAATTAGAAGTACTGTGTAAATGGAAATACAAATCGAAGAATTAATATCTGGTGCTAATATGTCTTTATTATTTGCTTCAGCAAATAGTTCATTGGTAACTCGGAATAGAACGTTTGCACAACGTTTTTAGTTTTCATTAATTAGAATCACATGAGGCCCATTAAGTGCATTTTCACCTATTTTCACACAAAATGACAACTTAATAATATTAATTATTCTAGGCTAATCGGGACAATTAAGATGACAGTATTCTAAGCTTAAAAATACACAATTATATACAAATAAAATGAAAAAAAATTGAGAATTAAGGACAATACATATATATATATATATATATATATATATAAAATTGACATATAAATATGCAATAAAACAAACATTCAACTTCAGAATGTGAAAGTAATTTTTTTTCCCCAAAAATTCTACTTATATTAGAAATGTATACTTTAGATTATAATTACTTACTATTGAATAAAAGTATGAAAAGAATACAAATTTATTAACTTGATTATAAATTTTCAGTATATAAAAAATTGAGAAGTAAAATTTACCACAACTACTATTTGAAATCTATAATATGTCTTTTAAGTTTATTTTATATAATTTATTACTACAACTGGGGACCTTATCATTGCATTGAAAGTAACGTAATGAAGAGATTAACTCATGTATAGTGTTATAAAATCCAATACTAAATCTCAATGCAATCAACACAACTGAGCATCACAATAAAATATTTGATTGATGATACACAAAAAGCAATCAATTTTTGCAAGAAGAAACATACACCACTAAAAAAGCATGATAAAGTAAAATTCAAAATGCATCTCCAAAATTTGTGATATGTTTTTAAAACTTTAATGTATATATATATACATACATAAAATTGATCTTTATACAAAGATTTATAAATTGTTTTTACTTAAAATTTATTATTATAACTAATTTATTTGATATTTATTTTTTAAAAAATTCTATTAATGTTACACTCATTCATTCATGATAATAGCAATAACCATCATTACTTCTATTTAGTAAGTTGAGTTTATTTCACCACATTTTATTTCCTTATCTTTAATAATACTATATGTGGTACTTCATATTCATTTTAAAATAGTAATATTATCTCTCATATATATATATATATGTAATATTTCATTATGTAGTGCTTCTTATAATGAATTTTAAAATAAAAATATGTAGGATTTTAATCTTTTTAAGCAATACCTTTATGTTCCCAACAAGTTAAAAACAAGAAATAGGATAAAATTTGAAAAGAATGTAATGCATTTCAAAACCAGCATTGTACATTATCTTCTACTACACACACAATATTTTCGAAATGATAAAAATAGATTGGGGCTTTGAGATGTGCACACTTAATTATTATGTAACTCAATTTCAATCGTTATTACAACCACTATACATATTCATACTTGATAAAGATAAGGTTAATTTCATGTACTCATATACAGGTACTTGTGATACTTCATTCTCAAACTAAGCTTGAATTCAACTAAATATCTGAAATTTATAAAATAGGTACATAATGCATTGAATTTAAATCAATTGCAATTAAAATCATTGAAAGCAAAAGAGGCAACAAAGCTGGCTTAAATTCTATGTGATTTTGAAATCACATTGTTACGCACATATATGAACAACAAACGTGCAATAAATACACAGGTTTAATGAGATCTATCCGTTCTATTGTTCTTAAACTTAGCTTATCCTTCTGCAAAATACTTACATAAGTGGTATTCCACGACTATTAATAAAATTCAAATCATTTCAAGAATGTTACATTAAAAAATGCATCAAAGATATGCAGTGAACGCAACTCAAACTCCACGATACAGTCGTAACTTTTTTTCTTCAATATAGGGAAACAGGAACAAACCGCATTGGTAAACATACGGACAACATATCACAAGAGTCATTCACCAAAAGTAAGCTATGAACGTACTATAAACACATTCACAGATCGAACACACTTTCTATGTTCACCAAAAGCCCCTCCTATAATCCATTAGAGCGTGTTCGAACAACGGCACAGTAGTCCACTGCAAACCAGAACTCCACAACAGTTGTGAGTCAGAGAATAAAGGCATATTTACATTTGTTCAATGGAGTAGCTCCAGTGACTTTCAGATGTTTGTACAAAACGCACGTTCATCAGAAAAACTACAAGCTCAGCGAGCAAGTGTGTTTTTTTTTTTTTTTTTTTTTTTTTTGACTCTGAGTATGTGTATACTGCACACAGCAGACGGACATAGAGGAGGAGTCTACAATGTTGAAAACAACTAAAATCCCAACTTGGTGAATCCAGGCAGGCAGCATCTAGCCACTAATCTCTTTTCACCTTAAATTAGCTAAGTAGGTGGCTGGATACAGCAGATGTTCGGCTATTCATTCTCTGCATCACTGTCCACTTCGTGGGTTTCCAAAAAGAAATTGCCACCGTCCCCATCGATCATCTTAGCCCTAAGTCACCAACTATATGTTAAGCTGAATCATCAACTAAGTATTCTGAGGTTTTATGAAAATTGGTTGTGCAACATAAAATTGTACGATACTAGCAGAGTTCATTGTGATATACCTACAGGAGATATGCAAGGTCAAAACTTCAGAAACAAATAGTTGGTTCAAAAGACTCACCGTTCAAGAATAAATTTCCCCTCTTTGTATTTCTGACTTTTTTCGTAGGCTGACTCCTGCTCATGTCAAACACCAATATAAATGAACCCAGAAATGGAATGTCAGGCACGTCATTAGTTTTGCGAACGCAAGAATCAAGGCTGACTTCACAACTGCTTAAACACCATCCTTCCATCACAACAACCCAGTACAAAACAGACTGAAATTCAAAAGAACCGAAAATGATTCTGAATATGTGGGATCATCATTTGAAAAGGGTGGAAATACGTACATATTTCCAGCCCACAACCTGCTGACAAGAATTGCAACAGATATCTGCCACAGTGTGTTTGCCTGTTGTCATCAAACGATCTTCCTGTGGCCCCAGTGAAACATTCACCCTGAAAATTATACCACACCATCAGACTTAAGAGACTTCTCAGAAAAGACTAGTACCCAACTTTAATAGAACATGGGCAGTCAAATATTTGCTCTTGAAAACGATCTTTACATCAACGTAGCAATCATAATTTATTCATTAATAAGATAGTCGTCTCGTAGTGTTCGCTGAATCAAAGCTACCTGGCTTAAAATATTCACCGTCACTTCAAAGCAAAATCTTTTTCATAATTCGATAGGAATCAGCAAGCGTATCAACTGATATCTGAAGAAGGAGAAGATAATGAAACTCTGTACACAAGATACGACAAGATAAACTAGGACAAAGTCGCATTGAGTTCGTGATAGAATAATTACACTGTATTGAATAGGTAGGCCTTCCCATGTCGACAGTGGAACGACTACACATGAAAAGATAACTGTTAGAGAGCTAAACTGAAGTATATTTCATTCTTCACTTAGCTGGTAAACACTGAGTCGAGAAGTATACGAACATATACATACGATTCAACTGCTTCGTAAGGATTCCATAAATGTGGATGAAATTCTCAAAAGCAAGCAAAACTCATAATAATCATAAACTCATACAGCAACGTCAGAAGAGAAACTTGGATCGAATGCAGCTGAGTTCCAAATATCGAAAATGGAGTAACATTACCTTCGAGACCAGCTCATCGCATTGGGCCAGGTGACTGCGGCAACAGCGGCAACTATAGACGCGACCGTCCAGCTGAATCAAGTACAACCTGCCCATGCTCAAATGCTGCGGTCCTTGTGTCACCTTAATTCCAACACTACAGCACAATAATTTAATTAATCTCTTCGTGCTCTATTCAGTAAGAAGCCCATCCAATTCCACTTGCGTCACGATGCCATCCCTGATGCTTGCATTCACCTGCATTCACGGAGATTGATTTCAAGGCTCCTTCAAACACATGGTAGAAAAAAAGGTCCACTTCTACGACGAGGTGAAAAAGAAAACTTTTGACATCCGAAATTCGATATGTTCGTTTCCAAGTACATTACAGTCAATTAAAATACTGGAACAAAATTAACAAAGCAGAGAAAATTCAATGGATAGGTGTCGATTTTGCGACACTTCTGAATTGCTACAACAATGACTTCGTCCATGCAAATGTGACTACCAGGTTTTGGACTGTATTAGATTTTCTTAAATAGATAATATTTTAACGGTACAGGCTCGTTGAACCATTTACACGCCTCGATTCTAACAATTTCTCAGCCATCTTTCAATTGAGCAAACTGTTGAAAATTAGGGATGACCGAACATAAATGAGGGTGGCAATGTGGCATGACATCTCAGACGCAGGATCAAAGAGCCAGGGTAAACGACACCCAATGAAGAAACATGGGTTTTGTGATCATCGAGGATGACAGGCTTGGCACCACTGAAATTGCGGTAAATACAACCCAGGGCCGGTGATGGTTGAGTGCCCAAAAAGAACGTGACACTGACATAGAGGAGAATGGGCCTTTGGGGAGGAGCAACGAACCCAGCAGTAGATGACTATTACCACAATATATCCTCAACCAGCGTCCCAAATTGGCAATGTCCTCCACTACCGAGGAAAGACATAGCAACACCATACAAACCCAACAAAGAAACAAAAAGAGGACAAAAGAAATGAGACGCGCGGAGTGCGAAAAAGAGGAAAGCCTCGACTCCCTTCGACAATGATCTATCTTCACTGACCCAATACCAATTCTCTTCCAACATATGCAACCAGAAATACTACAAACTTCACACCAAAACCACCCACTAACACAACCCAACTCACAAAATTCGATCCGGAAACCCCCCTCACACATAATCTCCAACACATCTAAATCGCAATCCCTGACTAACGAAGTGATTCCCAAACGCACTCACGTCTAACTCTCGCCCCTTCACGCAATCACCTTGCAACCACGCAACAAATTCACGGAAATCCTCGCCCTGAGAGCCGGCTCGCACAATCCAATGCTCCACGCTGATCGCACCAAGACCAAAATTTCAACACTGGGTCTTCTCCTTCTTCTTCAACTTCTCAGTGTATCTCTCGCTCTCTCTCTCTCTCGCTATCTCTCGCTCTCTGGCACTCCCCTGTGTGTGTGTGTATGCAATTGGGGCATGAAAGCTCTAAATCCCTGCGACAAAACCATGCGTGAGAGTGAGAGCAGAAGCAGCAAACCAATCCTCTCGCTCTGGCCCAGCCTCTTCTTCTTCCCCTCTGCCCTTCTTCCTGTGGCAGCGGCGTTTATCATTTATCTACGATAGTGCTCATTTCATTCATTTAGAGGATGATTTTTGGATGGATGTCGTGTAGACGGGCTTTGCACCATTGGACGCGCTCCGGCATCGGATTGGTTCGGACCCTTGTGCCAGGTGGACTTGGCTGCCTCTGCCTCGCTGGCAATAGTTCCTCACGTCAAGTCCGTCATTCAAGAAGAGTGCCCACACTCACGTAGGAATACCTTCAACAGTCAACTTAAGGGTTTTCAGCTATCTGGGGGGGTGTTATTTTTGGGAAAAAAATTGTTTTGGGTGGAGAAATAAGGTTTTCTGTGCTGTAAAAGAAAAAAATCGAATCTCCGCAGTGGTTGAATTGATAAAAATTATCGAAGCAATTTTTTGCATTTTACCCCTGAACTGAGTCGTAGACATGAGCAAAACCGCTCGTAAAAACAGGCTAAACCACCACATCCATCGCACAAAACCACCGCTTCCGTCGTAAAATCTGCCGATCGTTGATGGACTTGGAATTCATTTGAAATCTTTCTACATTCTTCAAAGCGGTTTTGGGTTTGCAGAAGCGCAGTTTCTAACAAGGTCTTCGAGTTGGTTCAAGGATCTGACACGGTTTAAGGTATTCCTACGTTAAATTATCCCGGTCCCCCTCCCTTTCCACTTCCCTTTGCTTAAGAGATAAGGGTGGATGATCAATTGTAATTGTATCTCTCTCATTCATTTATTTGGTGGTTCTATTAACAAGCCTTTCCAAATTTGTTGATAAAAGTTATTATTGTCATATCTATGCCAAATTGTCAAGGGAATCGTTTGGAAGTACAAGGCTATGTCTGATGGCAATTAACATGTAATTTTCAACACAGAACTGTGCACGTTATGTAGTGTAAATTTTACTTTTTTATAATTTGAGTTGTTATTCTTTTGTGTAATTAAATACGTCCACACCCAATACACTTTGTTCTGGTGCCTAAAAGAACTGAGAAACAAATTTATTTCTATGATGATAATTATATATTTAAATGACTTGAAGTATAATCTTTTACGTGTGTTGTTATCAGCATTTACCTTAAATCATGCATTTTATATTTAGAGTCTTCGGTATTCTACAATTAGACTTCGACTCAATAAAGGACCAAGGTTATATTTTTCATATATAATTACTTTCTATTGTTATTGAAATTTCTAATTGGTTGGTAGTAATTCAACAATCAAAGCCAGTAAGAGCATAACAATTCCACAAAGAGTTGGTACAAAGAAGTATTTAATTTAAAAGAAGGACCAATATATTGAAAAATGTAGTGCAAATAAAACATTAAAACATTACATATTTCATCAGAAAAATCCTTAAAATTGTATCATGAAGACGTTATTGGTTGGATATAAAGCAAAACCTAGTTCAAGTTCAACAAAAGGAAAAAAGGGGCCCAATTATACAGATAAAAATGTTACAAGACCACCAAATATCTTGTTGCAGAAATTAAAAGCCATCAACAGTTTCGCAAGCATGATATTTACTTTAAAGTAAATGTTATTTCCATTCCCCTCATTCGTGGTACAAACATCGAAACTAACATTGATCCCAAGAGCCACGTGGAAGATTCCCTGTTGGAATGTATCGTGCATGGAATGGTGGAACGAAGAATCCGAATTTATTCCCAAATAATATTCGCCGAGCTGGATCGCTATCACCGAATCTGATGTGGCAAGAACCGGGTGACGTGGAGGGATCGCACCAATGAAACGACAACGCCACAGATGGATGCGTAACAGTTTCATCTGTGAGGGGATTGAAGGGTTGTTTGGATGAATGTGTTCGCACCCTCAACATTCCACGATATTGTGTTCATAAGTGGGTCCACGGTGGTAGGCGGATTACACGGTCTTTAGCGCATTTTCGAATGTCTCGGAGACCCACCACCGCTCGCTCGCTCGCAGGCTGGCTGGTGTGCGTCGTAGTCCTCCGCGAGATTGCATATTGTCGTGAATTTTCTGTAGTGGATTTGGAGCATGAGAATTGGTCGTGGCGGCAGAAGGAGAAGAATTAGGAGAGGCTGAGACGGAGCTGAAGTAGAAGTGGGTGAAGCCGCGGAGATTGTTGGAGATGGCGGCGATGTTGGCACAAACGGTGATGGCGAGCACTTGGGCTTCTTCTTCTTCTTCTCCTTCGCACTTGGGCGTCGCGATGATTGCCCCGTCCCGACTTGCCGTGTGTGGAGTGAAAGCGGTCTCCCCTGTATTGGTCACCACAAGGGCGCCGCACAAGAGGAAATCATTCGTTGTGCGAGCGGCGGACCTGAGTAAGTTGGTTTTGCAAGTTGGGTTGATTTCTCGGTTGAAGTGCTTTGTGGGTGTGCGTTTCGTATGCATGGTTGAACCCGGCGGTGAATCGGTGCGGTTTGCAGGGGGTTTTATGCTTGCGGTTTTTAGACAGTGTAGGAGAATGTCGTTCTTTTCTTTGCATGCATCAGTTTGTTTTGAAGTTTGCAGAGGAAGGTGCTGAGATTGCCGGAGTTTCTAGCTACAAACTGTTGCGGTGCTAGTGCAATCACCAGGAAAAATGGCACTGAATTTTTGGTTGAAAATTTTCTTGCAGCGAATCGTGAGATAGTTTGTTGAAGCTTACCAATTTACTAAGTGTATGCATGGACCTACCATCCTTTGCAATCGATGATTTAGAGATTTAGGGTTCTGTAGGGTTATTGGTGGAAAAGTTGTCATGCAGACTGTGTAAGTTGTGGCGTCGTCGATGAAATTCAGTGGATTGAGGATTTTAGACTGCTCTTTGTCTTTTGCGGCCCCAGTGAATTCCTGTGTTTTCGATCGTGGTCGCACTTGGTTCACATATCTCATCGTGCTAGGTGTCGATCACATGGCAAAACAAATCTAATGTGTATGTAATTTGCGCGACAACGCATACGATTTTTGATTTTCAGCGGCGGAATCACCATCGGGCGTGGCGCCTGCGATTACGCTCACAGAAAAAGCATTGAGTCACCTGACGAAACTAAGGGCCAGCCAAGACAATAAATTGTGCTTGCGTGTTGGAGTTCGACAGGGCGGTTGTTCCGGCATGTCGTATATCATGGATTTTGAAGAGATTTCCAATGTTCGATCCGACGATTCTGTGATCGAGTACGAGGGTTTTAAAATGGGTAAAGCTCGGTTGTACCTTAAAATAACGCCATCCTTCCGTGCAGATAAAGCCTTCTAAAAAATTCGTATGATAATACTCAACAAGGTTTAGAGATTCTAATTTGTCCTGCAACATCTCATCCCCCCTGGTTTAGGAAATGCGACTTCACGTGCTATTTACCCGTAAGTGCATTAATGCTTTTTTGTATCTTGCTGTTTGTGCAGTGTGTGATCCGAAGAGCCTGTTGTTCCTGTATGGGATGCAGTTGGACTACAGCGATGCTCTGATTGGAGGCGGCTTCTCCTTCAGTAATCCAAATGCCTCTTCAACTTGTGGTTGTGGGAAATCATTTGCCGCTTAGACCACTGTATTCGTAATACGTAGAACTTAGGTACATCTCTTTAGCATCATCACGAGATATATTTATGGGACGTGTAGATTTTAGATAGATTAAGCTCTCTCTTCTTTGCATGGGAATATGCACAGAGGGTGTATCATGTGACGTGAAGTTTTCTTCTTTCTTTCCTACCAGCAGTCTTTTGGATTACAAAACCTTTCAATTATTGAATTGCATGTGCTCATTTAAGAGGCCGATTCAATCACACGCGCAAGCGGCATATATTGAACAAGGATCTTTGAGGTGCTGTAGGACTCGGAGGGCTGTTTTTATTTTTGAGGATTTCAACTGTCTCAGAAATCAGAATATCCACTTGCACTAACTTTGTTTTAAAAAATTGCTACACTCTTTTTGCGGGCACTTACACCATGATGGTCGCCATTGACTTCACTGAAGTATACTTGAAGTATCTGTGCCTCTGAGCATGCAAACATGCAGGAGAACGAAATTCTAAAACTTGGGGGGGGGGACGCTGTTCAGATACGGTCCATGTGCCCAATTCTTACGGAATCAGTACACTTTTTGTCCAATGTTGTGTAGTGTGAAATTCCAGCGTTGTAAACACTAGTGCTTGGGTCGACAAATACCTGATTTTCCGAGCCAATTTGGATTTTCCAAACAAAGTTTAGGCGTCACATGCTAAACTGGCTACGAACCTAAGTTGTTGGCCTACATAATGGTACTTTCGAAAGCGAAACAGACAAACGAATTTCCACTGGCTCCACCAGTTCATGAAGCGTTCAACTGCGTGTGTTGGCGTGAAACCATGTAAATTAACCCACAATAAGTAAAACAACCTGAGAGCCAAGTTCCCGTTCGTCCTTCTCCGTTGTGCTTTCAGTTGTGTAGGAGATGGATGACGGGCCTCGACGACGATCAACGCACTTCTCTCTCCTACGCTTTTCTCCTACTTCTCCCTTCCATCGTGTCCTCCTTGTTAAACAGCTCAGATCCCTCTCGTGCTGTCTCCCTCCCTCCCTTCCTCCCTCCCTCTCCCTACCTTTCTCTGTTGGAGGATTTCACTTCGCTGGCTCATAAATCGCCACAGAACGACCGGCCCACTCCATCGCCATTTTCCTTTGTATGTACATAGCAGGTGTGTTTGCCCATGCTCATATTTTCCCTTGCTTTTGTTTGGACACCGACATGACGCGGATCAAAGCAAACCATGGCGTACTTAGTACTGCGTGACCGAGTAGGGAGGTAGTTTTTTTTTTTTCTTTTATATATATATATTTTTATTTTTTAACGTAGTTTTTAGGGACGAGCGTTAGAGTTTTGTAACAGCGAATCGGCCTGTGTGGCCGCGACTTTCATCGTAGGGGTTAGGGTAAGCGTGGGGAGTTTTTGTGCGGGAGGGAAGGTTCATCTGCATTACGCTGTACGAAGACAGACGTATAGGTTAGTCTCTGATTGTACTCGATTTTGCCTTGCCCAGCTTGCGTGTTGATTGCCTTAAGAGATAGGGCTTCATTTTCACGAAGCTTGCGCCGTTTGAATTTCTCTTGCATAGGGCGTATTTTAGGGTAACGTAGTCGAGCATCAATGGGAATTGCGACTGAATTTTCAGCGCATTCGACTCCGATTTTCGATTTAGGTCTGTTTTTTGAGCACGCGAGATTTTAGGATTTTGTAGGAGTGGCACGGCCTGTAAGGGTGGGAGGGGCATTTTCTGCTATTTTTTTCTGCAATCGTCCTTTCTGTAGGGGTGGTCATTATTCCTAAGCATGTGCTTGAGGAGGAATCTGGGAGCAGGAATCTCAATTTTTTACGAATAATTTTTCTGCATTTGCAGTTTCCATTTGTAAGTTTCTACTTATGCCATTCCTATCTTAACGTGTGCTCAGTGGAGACGTTCCCACAGTTGAGTTTCTTACAATTAGCCTTCTCGCTTGTTGGATATTCTTGAAGGGAAGTCTGAGCCATAGAATTGCCCTAACCGCTCCCATTCCGATTTTCCGTATCTTCGAGATTAAGTTCTTTTGATCATTTTTGATTAGTTGGGATCACAGGCACCAGCAGTACTTCCTGATGAGCAATAATTACTATCATAGATAACGGTTACTATGATACGAAATGCGTTAATTTAGAAACATGAGATACATCTAAAAGAAAAAAGAATGTGCGAGGATGGTATTTCATCTTAAGCAACTTAGTCCAGCTTCCCTCTTTCATTGTGACCATTTATGATCTATCTGCGAGCAGGTCTTCATCCGCCTAAGCAGGTTTCTCCTCGCCATGCTAATATTCTGCACGAAAGAAATCGCATGTTACGATATCATTACACGGGTAACGGTACCCTTAGGTACTCGTGTGGAAGATCCCTTCATTGCAATTGTGCACTTGAAGCTTATCATATCGCTGATACATAAGTAGGTAGTTCTCAAAAAACAAGCTCTACTTGGTCTGCTGTCCGCGTTTAACCTTCGTCGACCTAAAAGGTTTACAGAACGCTAGAGTCTCCGAGAAAGGGAGCACTGACACAATTTTTTTAACACCCATTTTGTTTGATGCAACATGTTAATCTACATAGTAATTGGATTTTGAATTTTATCGTGGTAGCTACTCACATGATCAACTGTTGACAGGACCTGCCTTCGCTCTGTTGGCCATTGCGTTCAGTTGCTTTCAAGAGCCATGGAGGTGAATCATGAAGGCAGCAGTGGTTCAGGGATAGTGCCTGCGGGAGGGACTACCTTAGGTGAAACAGTGGAAATTAAAATCAAAACTTTGGATTCGCAAAGTTATACATTACGTGTGGAGAAAAATGTGAGTCTTGGTTAATGTGTCATGGACTATTTTTTGACACTAGTAATTATCCGGCTTATAGTTCACGATTTCTTCTGTTGGGTTTACTTCATTCTTCAGCTTCACTCCATGGCGAGAATGTGTACCTGAAATTTGAGTTATACTGAAATAAAATAGGATTTTAATTTTTTTACTTTGTATTTATTCATTTATTGATTCATTTATTTATGTTTCTGTCTTGTATATAATTCCCATGCTTACTGAACTGTAGGTGGCAGTGCCTGTATTGAAAGAGCAACTGGCTTCAGTTGCTGGGGTGCCCGTGGAGAATCAACGGTTGATTTGCCGAGGAAAGGTCTTAAAAGATGACCAGTTATTATCCGCATATAGTATCCTTATTTACTAATTATGAGTGTTGCAGCTTATCACTTAAATTATTTATCTCTAATTTAATTATTATTTAATGTTAACTGTTCTGCAGATTTGTGTGTCTCATGTTATCAGTTAGTATTAGTATCTATTGGAGAAAGATTCTTTTTGGGACTCGGGGGGATTGTCATCTCCCTATTTATCGTAGGGTACTTCATAAGAAGCACAAGAATCAAGAATTTGAAAATTGCATGAGAGATTCGGAGTTTGATGGTGTTGTGGCTCTACCTCTATCTTTTGAAGGAAAAAGAGGGCATTTCACGCATGCCAATCCCGAAATTATGGTCTAACCCTGGTACTTACAGACGTAAGTCAAGTCTTAGATTATCTGGAAGTGGCAGGATTAATTGCCATTGGTTTCTACCTGATATTCAATTTTTATTGTGTACGGGAGATTGAACATGATTCCTTAGGTTTTCCCTTAATTCAAAACTTCAGATGTTGAGGATGGACATACGTTACATCTGGTGGCTAGGCAACCTCCTCCAACTTCCGGAGTTGGAACCAGCACTGCTACTAATGAAGGTTATTTCACATTCATTTCTTACTCATTGAATTTTTTGCGGCAGGAATTCGTAGCTTTCTGCATGACTGTCTCATACCAGCTTCATGGTACTCGGTGTCAGAGAAGCAGAATTGCAAGTGATCCTGAATTTTCCTCGTATGTCGATGGAAGCTGATGGAAGTCATGATGGTTTTGCAGGTGATCAAGGGGAAACAGGTTTGCCGTCATTAGGAAGCAGGTCTGGTCACGTTTCACACAGTCTTCTAATGGGAACTATCAACTTTCCAGATAATGGCGAAGGGCAATTGCCTGACCTAAATCGGGTAAGTAGTAATAGTGAAGGTTATTATCGTTAATCTTAAACTTTCTTGTTAACCCTTCTGGATCTTATCTTCTAAATCTGAACTGGCTTGATTTGAGCCCGTTGCGTATGTCTTCTGTATCTCGTTAAAAAATGTTTAATAATTCCATATCATTTCAGTTCTCCTTGAAGTTCGTCTCTCTATAACCATACAATCTTACTGCTTTCAGATTATTGGTTTCGCGCTTTGTTAGTATTAAGGACGTTGAGGTTTTCATGATTGTACGTATTGCTATGTTTGGGAAAGTGACAAGCTCACTAATCGAAGGCTCAATGCAGATTATAAATGCGGTCATCAGCTCAATTGGATTACATAGTGGTGCTCCTTTGCAAGGCGGTACAGGGAATAATTCTGCCGCAGTAAGATATATTCACGTGGCCTACTGCATTTCATGATTTCATTGTCATGCACGACCGTCTTGGATATGGTCCCATGCAATGCAATAGGATGTGATCATTAATATTTATTTGTTGTGGGTCCTATTCGGTTTAATAATGAGAAGTTTCACACCGTGTTGTATTGAGAATGTGTTGATTTGAGGCTACCGTGCAGTTGAAACGTATGAACTGACGATTTATATGCATAGAAGTCAATCTAAAGAGTTCATGGTTGTGACCACGTTGAAAGCTGACAAGCGAATAGGAATATTTTAGATCAATTACGCTAAGTTATGTTTCTTTGTCTGTTACTGCAGGGGGTGTTATCTCCGGGGGTGTTGCCTACATCTGGTGGAGTTGATGCTGGTGCAGCTGATAGAAATGGTGGAGGTGATCAGGGCACTGGCGTCCGTGAGTTAGAGCTGCAGATTGACGCACTCTATGGAATGCCTTCCAATGCTACAGGAACTATTGGCCCGAGCCCTGTACGTGTGGTTCAGGCTCCTGTGGTAAGTTCCCAATGTGTACGGAGTCACATTTTTGTTATTCATTTTATTTTATACACGTAAGTGGGATGGAGTTTAAGTAGTTGGATGTCTGATTATTTTTATATAGTAATCACGTCGAGGTCATTTCGTCGTCATTTCTCTGTACAGAACAGTCAGTCTAGTTATGTTGAAGTTGGGTGCAGTCAATAATACTGTATACGTTGTTACTTCTATATATTTTTCCAGGTCGTCCCTGACGCTTTGACAACCATGTCCCAGTACCTGGACCGTTTGGAGCAGTCGTTTGCTGCAGAAGGTAGTCCTCCTCCTATTTTTTGAATGCTGATTGCAGAATTCGTTATTAAATCTAATGGCATTTTAAGAACACTATATGGCCATTTGTGGATGTGAGTTTTGATCATCTTTAGGTAGAATGTAGCTTTTAGAATCTTGTGCTTAGTTGTTTCAGCTCCCAGATCCTTTATTGTATATGCAGTCTGATAACTGCATTTGTTTAAGTGTGTTGGATGAGTATATTATTATATAAGCGATAATTTCTCATCAGTATGGACTTGTAATCTTCTCGTTATTTGATATGTCATTAAATGACACTTATGTTTGTGCAGAGTCGGCAAGAATTTCTAGTGCACAAGACAGTGGTCGCACTGAAGCGAGGGCGACTACTGATGTCCACCCAAGTAGGGAGGAGCCTCAACGAGGAGCTTCAATTGCTGCTTTAGGAGCCCTTGTGAATCGAGTGAACAATTTATTGCGTGGTCAGGCTAGCTCTGCGCTTTCTGTAAGTTGTGTTATTTTCTCTGCTAATTGCTTTCTTTGAATCGTTGGCACTGACACTGGTCATTTTCTTTGCATCAATGTGTTCAACTCAAATACTAAGCACTTAAAAAAGATTTTTCAGGAAAGTTCGTTTTGAGAAGTGATTGAATTTGTGGTCTGCAATTGGTCATTTATTAATTTTAATTTTAGGTTTATCAGCCAAGTGAATGTTATTTAAGATTCTTTACAGATGGAAGTTTGGCTTCTTACGTCTTTGATTTTTCTGTTACCAGCGACTCGCTAGTCGATTGGAAAATGAGCCAACGATGCTAAACGCTGCTGCACGAGAAGATGTACAACACACAGCATACCATGATGGTAATTTGATGCAGCAGATAGGGGCTCTTCTCTTAGAGCTGGGCCGGGCTACATTGTCTCTTCGTATGGGTCAATCTCCTGTAAGATTTTCAGATTCTTACTCCATGCGCTTTTACTCTAGCAGTCTATCTCAAGTTTCCTTAGCTAGTATGAATAGAGCTTTTCCATGGTGTCTTGCATGAACAGCATGTTGTGCACGGATCTAAGGTTTTAGTGTGAGATTTAAGTTCTTCTGTACTTGTGTTGCAGAGCGAGTCTGCTATCAATTCTGGGCCGGCTATTTTCATTTCCCCAACAGGACCAAATCCAATGATGGTTCAGGTTAATACTTCTACCACATCATACAGTTTGACATGCATGTTTTTAATTTTCAAACATGTCTATTATGGGCATCACGAAATCCACAGACGGGGATGCACCTTGATGGAACTATCATGTTCTTGATTGTGTTGTTTTGTTTTGTTTTGTTTTGTGTTTTCTTCCTTTCCTCTTTCTTCCTGACATTTTTTGTTTGTTTGTTTGTTTGTTTTTTTTTTTTGTTTGTTTGTTTTTGTTTTTTGTTTTTGTTTTGTTTTTGTTTTGTTTTTTTGGTTTTCTTTTATCTTTTTTCGTTTTTAAATAATGTACAACCTGCAGGGTTCAAATGTTGCCTCTTTCCGACAAGTCTTTGATCTTTCTCGCACAAATCGTCACAATTTTGTAAGTGATGGATTCAAAAATGGGAAAGGAAGTTTTACAGCGTTTTAAAGTGATGACTTAAAGTTCCTGAGATGGATTTGTCTGTCAAGGAATTTTTGTGTTCGGATTTCACTAATTCAAGCGATGACTTGTCACAAGGATCAAGCGAAATGATAACGAAAGTGAGATACAAGCTTAGTTTGTGAGAGTTACAAGTGTTTATTTGGGGAAAGAATTTAGGCCATTCTTCCGCTTGGTTCATAACTTGACCTGACCAGTTCCCATTTTTGCAGGCTTTGCCACTACAGTCAGCAGGCGGTTTGGCTGTTGGGACTGGCCTACCGTCCACTCCTGGTACGTTGGGCCCATCAACAGGTTTGCCTGGATTTTCTAGAAGTATTCACGTTCATAATCATACAAGCGATGCTGGAGCTCTTATTGCTGTTCTGTCTTCCTCCTTCCTTCTCCTTCAAGATAACTCACACATGAAGGACTTGTTGGCATACCAGCTGGTGGCGCTGGCTTTACTGTGCGACAACTTCTAGAGCGGGCAGACCATAGGAATACATCTCACGCTGGTGCTACATCAAATGATGCGGGTGGCCCTGCCCGTCCAAATCGTCCCAGTAACGAAGCTGCAGACGGGGCCAATCCAGTATCAGACAGTGTGCCTTCTGGCTTCACTGGAATGCAAGGCACTCTCATGACACTTGATGAGAATGGAGCTGTTCGAGTGGTTCCTGTTCGTTCTCTTGGTGTTGGTCATCCTCCCGGCACTACTGCAGAGCATTTGGGTCCAAGGTTTCAGCATCAATTCATTGTCAGACCAGCTTCCAACCCGCCGAACGACGCATCTGTCGCTGCCGCCGGCAATCCTGTGCCACCAGTATCCAGTGATTCGTCCAGGCTGACAGATCAAGCAAGTCGCAGCACACCAGGTATGTAGTTCATTTTCTTTGATTCATCCATTTTCTGCTTAGATGGGTTTTTGTACTAATGTCTGTTTTTATTGAAACAGCTTCATTTGTAAGGACTTTTCTGGGCATTTGTCGTCAATCCCTGCAACCTTCTGCAGTATTGATTAAGAGTTTGATCTTGTGTGAATCGTATGAGTTTAAGAGAGATCAGGTCCAGTTCAGCTATTAACGATACACCCACCTTATTTCACATGGAAACCCGTTGCCTTCATTCGGTGCTAGGAGTGAACGGGAGGATTACAACGTAGTAGTATTACATTTTTCATCGTCGTTTTCAACATACTTCTGAGCTGAACACTTTTACAAGTTTAACCTGTGTTATAAACCGTGAGAGTAGCTATTTACTAGGCTAGATGGGGTCCTAAAATTCTCATATGTTTCTGTTATTTGGTAATATAGGAGATGGAGGTGGAGCTTCTGATCTTCTGAATTCCTTGGGACCACTTCTGCAACATTTAGCTGGTGCACTTCAACAGCCAGGGGACACAACACTGCTTCAGCAGCAGGTTCTATTTCCAATCTTCTTGGGAAAAAAATTTCTTAGAATGTTTGTGGTGTAGGAAGTGTTACGTATGATAATTTTTATTAATCGCAAAGTTTTCTGCCCAACACTACAAGTTGAAGGACGGTTGTTGAACAAAGCCTGCCTTTAAACAGGTTTGAATAGTGACACGAAGTTACTAGGCATGAGTTACGTGGTACGCTATTTCAAATTTTACGTGAACGTGAATTTGCTGAATTCCATAACACGGCAGTCGAGAGGGAAGGTGAATTAATTTGAGATGATTTGTCTAGCAGTCCAATTCCGATCAACAGCAACCGCCAAGGACAGATACAATTGAAAGGGAAACAGATGCTGAAGCCAGGTCCACAGAAGATGCACAGGGTAGTAGAGAGTTGTCCAATGGAAGGTCTGTTGAGCCAGCTCTCGAGTCTGGGGTGATAAGCATGGTGACAGATGAAGTGAGTGGTTATCGTGAGGGACCAGGGTCGAATAATTACCCTACTCCTCAAGAGCAGACGTTTGGCGCGAGTGAGAGTGTTGGCCCTAGTAGAGGATCTTCGGATGCATCCGCCACTGCACCAATCGGACTTGGGTTTGGGGGACTTCAGCCTCTTACAAGGGTGAGTGAATGCACGTTTTTATTAATTGATTCTCAGGTGATTGCTCTTTTTTAGTTAAGCCATGCGCTGCTCGTTCAGCTACGTAACAGTCTTCGGCCTTTTGTTTTTTTCGAGGTGGAGGAAATTACTCCGGAATCACGCCTAACTGTCACTCCAGATGTAGTGGAGTGCTTGGTCCTTGTTTTGTTGTGAACAGGAGTCGATACGTTTAGAATGGGCAGATCTTTGAAATGTTTTGTTCCCATTCATTGATACAGTCGTATGTATTTTGAACTTGAATGGTTCTATTGTTATCGTAGCGGCATCGTTCCCTTCGTGATGTTTTCTTGATTCCGAAATGACGGAAAGGAACATGGATTCCTTGTGGTTTTGAATAGTACTTCATCAGTGTTGATCAGCTCCGAAGCCAAGATGATTTGAAATGTGTTTTATGTTAGTTCTTACGGTGGAGTGGATTTCAAAGGAGAAATTTTAATCAATGGATTGGCCAGAGGTGGCAAATGTGCGAAAAGTGTTCGAGAGAAGAGTTCTCGGACTTTTGTGAGGAATAGGTTAATCTCTATAGTCATCATGAAGTTGGAGTGAAGTAGTTGTTTGTTTCGATCCTAACAACTACCTGATATTTGAAGGCAATCGAAGACTTTTTTCAGCAGATAATGTCCTTAGTTGTGAACAGCTTCACAATTGTGCCTGGGGATAATTTCTTGTCCAGGGTTTAAAATTCAACTGACAATCAGAATATGATGTGCGCAGGGAAGAAGGAGGCGACAGGCACAGCAGTCCATTCAAGATGAACAGCGTCAAGCAGGGCAGGATGTTTTGCAGAACCTCTTAGCACAAAGAGAAATGGCGAATGATATGAACCAAAGACTCAACACGCCTTTACCTTCCTTGAGCAATCTAGTGAGAGCAGTAGGAGGTGCTGATAGGCAGCAGGGGGACCCTGGTATTATAGGGCAGCTTATGAGGAGCCCTGTCGTAGAGAATCTTGTTCAACAGGTCATGCAAGGCGTCGGTGATGTAGATGGAGGAGATGGAGCTCGCCGTGGACTAGCAACTGGTGACTTAGATTTGTCAGGGATGTTACAACATATGATGCCTGTAGTTACTCAAATGTTGGGTGGAGGATCTTCAGCGGCTTTTCCTGGGTCTGTAGCAGACTCAAGTGCTAGAACAAGTGCTGTTGGAGCAAGGGGTACTTCTTCTCAGCCATCCGAGACTGAAAGATGGCAAGATGCTCTATCACAGGTGCGCGAGAGTGTTTATAAATTAGTGTTATCTGGTGACTATTATTGCCTGTTACATACCTGTGACTAAAAGGTGTCATTATGTGTTACATGACCGAGTTTCCAGATTTTCCTGATCTTTCCATTGCCATGGAAAATCTCATTGCAAACAGAAATCAGTAGTCATTGTCATGATCAGCTACCCATCCACGATTGTTATGCATCTAAATCCTGAACATTATTTTGTTTCTTGTTATGGAACTTTAGGAGGAGCTAGCTGGTTGGAATGAGACGATTGTAGCCGATGAAGAGGCTCAACAGTCAATGCCACCTCAGCGTCCGTTAAGTGATGTTTACCGTCGTGGTACACCTGCTGCTAAACGGCAAAAGGTTTATGACTAACCCGAAAGTAAATAATTTGATGGACTTAGATTTAAATTCTTGAGATTATTTGTATACTGTACGTTATTCGATCGACTGACATTTTTCTTGAAACATATGCTTACATTCCAGTGGGTGGAAATTTTTTCTTGCAATATTTCCTCATCATGCTGATAAGTATAGATAACTTGGTTGCTGTTGAATGATCCAATAACATGCTTTGGGGAATTGCTATGCAGACTGTAGTCGAGACAGCAGCAGAAAAACTGGAATCCGGAGGATCTGCAGAAGTTGTTCTTCGAGATCTGACTGATGCTGCCAATGCTGAAATTTCAGGCAACAATGGGACTGCTGGTGCAGATGACCTGGCTCAACAAGTTGTTCGAGTCGATGGTCTTGCTGAGGTACGTCAAATTTTGTTGGATTAACAACCGCATACTGAATATTCAGCACATGGTAGAAGTCCAGTTGATGTCTAAATTTGGATCCTTGTTTATGAACGTAGGAATAGATAATATTGCTTGCTGGTTTGCCTCATGCCCCCCTGCATCAAGCTTTTGAGGTTTAGTCTTGTGATAGGTTAAACTGATGAATGGTTGATTCCTTCAATTGGACGCGCTGTTGCTGATATTAAATGATATCATGGCTTTGAGTATGCCTGTCTAGATTTTGTTGTCAAAGATTTTAAAGAAATAGCAATGTGGTCTCCATTCTGCATTGTGCACTCTCAACCTGCTTTGTAGGATTAGGTCGAGTGATGCAACTTGCTGCCATTTGCTTTGCCTGGTTCTCGAACATAAATACTTATCCTTTTGAAACTAGTGCTGGTGGTGTTTTTTGCTAAGGGCCCAAAGTCGTAGGACGTGGATAACTGATAGTCATTTCTTTGTAGTTGTTGGCAAGTATCCGTCCAAGTAGTTTTACTGCATCATGAACACCTGAACTTTGTAGTACTCATGAAATCTTAACACCACTTTTCAACCCAGGAAGTGAATTTCCGTTTGAATTAGAATAGCATCTGTATTTCTACTGCCCAAACACGGTTGTAAGATTTTAATGCTTAAGATCGAACCTTGTGCTTTAGCCTTAAATTTAGTAACGACTACTCTATCCCACAGTATCGCATCATATGCCTACTGTACCAGCAGGATGCCGAAATGCATCTTTTTGGAATCTTTGCCTTCACCGAATGCTCTGTTTTTTCTTTTTTTTTTTCGATAAGAACTTCACTAGGGCTGTTCCAAGGTCTTTCAGAACCTGGGAAGTCTAATGACGGACATGCTTCGAGAGAGATCGTACCCCAGCTCGTTGGTTGGTTTTCGCACGATACTACTGTTTTTCTTTTCTTTTTCGAGGGGGGGGGGATTAAATGATATGTTTCTCCTGTTTTGTATGTGGACAATTGTGGGTATATTGGCCTATATCCGGACAGTAGCTTGAAGCCTTACATGATTGAGACATACAAAAAGAAAGGGGATGAGACACAGAATTCATGACTTTGTCATATGGCCATTACCCAGACGTTTTGAGAAATTCTTGAGATGGGAAACCTGGTTACCTTCGCCCAATCGATTGGGACTGTGCACTCACAAAACATGAACATATTCTAGTAAAGAAGAAGTCTGTAGTGTAGATCCTGTAAGCATTATAGTGGTCCCTCGTCCGGTTATAGGCTGGTATACCCTAATGGATGGGTGCATCCTGCTGATGGCAGGCCTATTTGCTTGTGCTGTTCAATGACCTGGCTGCACGCGTGGCAGCAGACCCGGATTTTGGCGATGGCTCCCGCTTCCCACATGCAGCCCGAATCTTCCGCCAACCCCCGCAGACGCCAACGGAGCCAGATGGAGAGTGACTCTGATTGTATGCAACACTCGTGATGTAGCTTGTAGGTGGGTCACTATAAAAAAGAGGTTTTTCTTCATGTGGGTTGTAGACTTTTTCTTCATTAGCTATCAACCCTTATATGGGAGGAGTAGACGTATCCTTCATGAGCATGTGCTTCCTTCAGATTAGCTTAAGCTTTGGTTCTTATGAACCAACTGTACCGTCCAAGACCAGCCCCCACCTTGTTTATTTTGCTAGGTAGAGTTCAATATAAAATCTTAACCAACTTGTTTACATTTTTAGGCAGTACAATACTAACTCGTCAATGCTTTACCGAATCTGGTGCTTGGGTCTTTATGTACTGTTGCCACCTGAAACAATTTTACTTAATGTGATGTTACAGTCCACCGTACCGACTTTTATGTATATATTTTTTTCAGTTTTCCAATTGTATGTCTTCTAACCAAGTCTTGTATTAGGTTTTCCACAAATTCTCAATGTTTACGATAGTATGGCTTCAGATCCTCTGCGCAATAATCCTTGTAACCTTTTGGCTGTACTTTTTGCTCATAACTTGAGGTTTTTTTAGGAAGTGCAACATTATGATTAGCCTCAACTCTACAATTTCTTGAACCCTGTCAATTGCTAAATGGTGTCAAAAGTAACCATAGCTATGTAGATTGCATCAGTGGCCATAGCTAGAATAAATTTGTAAGAAAATTGACAGTGCATATATTAGCATGTCCCTTTAATCCCGTTTCAGAAAGGAGATAAACTGAATTCAAAAATATTGATATTAAAGAAGATTTTCACATTTGAAGAGTTGGATGCACTTTGATGTTAAGATTTTCGGCTAAATCATGTACTTCATCCACACTTGTTACTTTGTCAATTTTATATATATATATATATATATATATATATATTTTCACTCACAACTAGTTTTTTCATGAAAGAGAATTAACTGTTGTGAAAAGATTGTAATAGGTATTAAAAAAGCTTCAATTCTTACTTAATTATATACATTTTAAGGAAGTGTGGCATTTTCACATACAAACGTCATTCAGTAACCATGAAATCCACAGCTTAGTGCAATTACTACAAAAACACAAATTATCAGAATTTTCTATTGCATGTAGTTAATTTAGAAAAAAATATTACATATTTTTACAAATAAAAGAAGATGGAAATAGATATCAGTATATTGATCTCAGTTTGTGTTTGTCTTAAATAAGGTGGTTATTTTAATTGTTAGTTTTCCAAATATACACTAAATATTCAAACAAAATGTTTGTGGAACATGAATCAACATTTTACAGATGAACATTAACATCCCCATTGCTAAGAACAATAATAAAATATAACTTTGAAACCATGAAGTGGGTTATTCAAAATGACAATGTTTAATATTATGGTGCCTGTTCTAATATACTTTTCGAATAATAATCATCATAAAAGTATGTGTCTTGTGAATATATCTTGCGAAATTTCCATCTTGTGAAATGATCATGTTTACTTCTAGTCTGCAATGAGGGATTTTACCCAATATCAAAAATGAAGCATAACATGAATTCTTCTCAGAATGTTAACATTTATGACTTCTCGAAAATCAGCATTCCGCTACCAAATGGTTCGATACAAATCCGGCCACAAGTGAGCGGAGAAGTAACGGACCTTGAAAACAGCATTTCGTAGAATGAATCTATCTACTCCTGTGGAGGCGAAACGGCCTACACGAATGTTGTACAGGAGTCCGAGGTATGCAGATGGCCGGCTACTTGCTTTCGGAATCTCGAAGCAACCAAGGTAAATCCTACACAGCTACCGATGCGAAACCATCCCCATCTCATTCCAATTGCGTCAGAACATGTGAAAAGTGCCTCAGAATTGTGTAAATTTGCAGACCAGGTCTGGTGAGCCCCACCCAGAGCTGTTCTTCATTCTTCTATTTTATTATTATAAATGAGTCTAGCAACGAACGGTGGCGATAGCGCAGCGTAGTCGTTCCAGTTTTTTCTGGAACCCACTTCGAGTGGTTGTAGTTCGGCATCGGATTGATGCGTCTACCAACTTTTTTGGCCTTAAAAAGTTCTACGGTTCCTAATTCCTGGGTTACCACTAGTATAGAACTTCGGTCATTAAGTTATCGTAAGTTCGGAAGCCGTGATGAAGGAATGAATATGTACACAAGTGCTGAACTAGCAATGCGCTAGTGGTACCCGACGGGAGCAGGCGATTCCCGCAGCTCCTTACCTCGGTCAAGAATATCCTGTACATGCACATAACGCAATGGTTAGCTCCCCACCCCACCTTTCCAAAGGCAAATTGCGGACCACATTAATTCCAGGAGCCTGATTCTAGACCTGGAGAGAGAGAAGAGGACTTACGGCGGCGAAATGGTTAACGTCACGATGATGAGCTTCGTCTGCACGAACCACCATCACCACGTCACGTATGGTGGCATCCTTTGGAAGCCGCCAGTAGTCGATGGCGATCGAGGGTGCTGGACCATTCTGGAAGTGGCCTTCGTCAATCATTTTGAGGAATTGCGTGTAGGAGTAAACGGCTTCCTCTTCCAGGTAACCCGTGATCCGGTGAGCGATCTTTGGAGACACAAGGTAAAGAAGAAAGTACGCGTTGAAGAAAACACCTTGCACTGCAAACACGAGCGCGCGCTCCCACCATTTGGGCTGCGCCACTTCCATGAAGGTCATCAAGTGCATTCGTTCGTTTTCAGCTTCCTCGAGAAGGGCCTTAATCCAGCCCCCGCTGTTCTGAAATTTACGCAATGATTTGCAATGGAGCAGCATTCCGCCGACCATTCCAGGAACAGCCGCCACGGTCTCCAGCATCATTGCACGAACATCATACCGCTTCTGCGAGAGCAAATAATACATGAGATTCCTAATTCCAATGACAATAAACTGCACTCGAGACAAAACTAATCCCGACGAACTTTGTACCAGTTATAGCCTACCGATCCATAAGATTTCATACAGCCAAATGGACATTGTACACAACGGGAGCCTTAACACCTGTAGACTTGTTTATGACCTCCGAGTTAAACTTGGATTGAGAAACCCTGGTTTTGAGCATGGTAGAGCAGAGCCGCTTACCTTACTGTTCACATTGCAGACCAGGCACTAGCACGATCGAAAAAAAAACTAGAGTGGTTTTAAGTGCCCAATTCCTGGAATGCAGAGGTGCAAAGTATGCGCAAGTTCTGCCCAACCTCATGCTATTGCCGTCTATGTTAGTGTGCTCCTCTTCCCATTGCGTGTAAGACTAAATAACTTTGTCGCAAAAACTCTCACTACGTAGTTGAGAATTTTTGACAGACAATGTCATTTCCAAAAAAAAAGAAAAAAACAGAAAAGAAAACACGGTAACAAAATGAATCATGGGCAACAAGAACCGCATTCCGAGCGAACAAAGAAGAAATACATGTGTCTCACACAACTGATGACCTAGAAAAGGCTGAATCTCGTACCTTAAAGAACATATCCGAAGGTACACGTAACGACTTCACCAGCCAGTAAGCAATGGAATCCGTATACGTCTTGCGAGCGTGGGTCTTCTCTAAATCGATGGTGACATCGGGATAGTACGTCTCGTGCGGCTGTACAAAAGAATTGCACACATTCAGAGTAGGCTCACCCCGCGATAAGACTTACAAGTTCTCACAGAAATTCACAACTAGTGGGCTAAGTGTAGCATACGTAGAAATCCGGTGGTCTGCACCACTAGATTCCATCGTAGGATGAGAGAGATCTTTACCGTGAAGCACGTCCATTTCCAAGGAGTCCCGTCCTCCTTGTGTTGGACTTTTGGCACCACACCCCAATAACTGGAGATATCCGTGGCCTTTACGAATTTTTCCTCCGATCCCGATTTGACAGTGGCGAGCTTCCTGTCCTTCGCCGGTGTAGCGTCCTCCTCCTCTGCCGGCTCAGCAGCCGCCGTGCTCATGTGATGCGCGAAAGGTGAGTATGCCCGGGGTAAGTCACTGTGAACGGGACGGCTCCATGAAACCAGGTGTTGCATCGACCGAGTGGGCATTTCCATGACTGTGGGCCTCACGAAAAACATTGGAGCAAGCGTGCTCGAAGAAACATGGTATGCTCGTTCGATCCCATGGCGCGACGCCAGCTGACGCCTCGCTTCGCGAACAAACACTGATCCTACCCTTCCCAACATCGCATCCGAAACCGCAACACTATGTCCTCACCTGTGCCAGTTAAACACACATATTCCCCAGCTCACTGAAACGAAAACCTCCAATTGCGGTCGAAATCTGTCGAAAACACAGCCGAGCCAGCCACACACAAACCTCATTCGTCAGTCACCACGATCGCCAACAGCGGATCTAAAAAAACGATACTCACAAACTCCACGACACAATGACACCGACTCAAAACGAAGAAAAACATCTCCTCCTGACAGCTTCAGACAAAAAAGAATGTAAACTAATGGCTACCGCGATCGACATAAAACAAAACATGAACAAAGCAAGACAAGTGAACCGATCTACCACCACCAATGACTCCCAAAAAAACTCACTAAATCAGAAAAATCAAAATCCAGTAAGTTCCTACAAAAACCGCAAAAACTCGAACTTTATAAGAGCTAAACCACTAGAAAAACCGAAACGAAACGAAACGAAACGAAAGCTCCGAGCTTGAAAGAGAATTACCTCAGAATAACCAATAGTCAACTGGTCCACAAAATCCTGAAACTCAATGAAGAAAACCTCGTGATAAACTGAAAAATCAAGCAAGATATGGCAGAGTAAGCAGCAGAAGAAGAAGTAGTAGAAGAGATCCAATGGAACTAAAACCAACTAGGTCACGGTGTGGAATTCATGGCGAAACAGGCATACATTCGCATTAATAATGAAATTCCAACTGCTTGAATAATAAAACGAGAGAAGCTTCAACTGCTTCTTCATGGCTAGTCAGTCCACTTGGTGGGGGGTGAGTCCACGCGATTGGGAACGGAAGTGCGCCACGGTTCTCCAACGTGCGAAATTACGTGAGCTGCTGCAGGAACTGCCTTGGGGCGCACGGACGCCGCCTTTGTCGCCATTTCAGCTTTCGGTATTTCGGCGGAGGGATGAACGCGCTTTCATCCTTCTGATGGGGTGTGTGCGTCCTTCGTTGGATGAAGGTACGTCACCGCGTGATGTATAGGTGGATGAGTTTTATTGTGGATGATTCGGTCGTCCGTTAACAATTGACTCGTCCATGTGTCTTGACTTATTATTATTACTATTATTCTCTCGTTTTTCAAAACAAAGAAGAAATTGTGTGAGAAATTTCTCATTTTGTGTTGTCTTGTGTGCTAGGTTTCAAAATGATTATTTTATATACATATATATATATGAATGTATATAAGGAATTGTTAAATCAATCCAGGTATTTACTAAATCAACCCACCCATCTTAACCATGATCAAAAACTTCTCCACTATTGGGTCTATATGATTGAAAACCAATGAAGAAACAGTTGGATTAGCAAACAATGAAAATAGATGGATTGATTTAGTAAATACATGGGTATATTTAACAATTTGCTCTCTTTCTATATATATATATATATATATATATATTCATGTATAATTATGTATATATATGGAGAGAGAGTGGCATATATATATATATATATATATATAGTTTTTTTTTTTGTTTATTTGTTTGTTTTGTTTTCTTTTTCCAAATCTCTAAGAATTCCAAATTTATCAAAAAGAGGTTGTAATATATTTGTTTAAGAATTATTGCATATTTTATTTTGAGTTTTAATCTTATATCAACTTTGTATTACTTTCTTGTATGAATACTACTTACTATAACAGGTATGGATTGTAGTTCAATAACTGTGAATGCACTCAATTTTGAGACATTTTCAAAACTTTGTGATTTTTCTATATGTAATGCTAAAAAATTAAATAAAAACAGAAAAACTGAATTTAATTGTTATGTCAATTTTAAGAAAAATACATCTGGATTGTTTAAAAAAAAGCATTTATGACTGCTATAATTTTTAAATTCTGTTTTGAGTTCTTTTGAATGAATCATATGTAGCTGAAAATTAATTTAATCTTAAAAAAATTCCTTTGTACCATAATTAGCATATATAATAGTACATTTTTTTTTCTAATATTATTATAAAGATTTTGAAATACATTTTTTGTTGGATAATTTTTTTCTTCATTTTTAAAAAAAATTATATTTATCTATAAAAAATATAATGGAATAAATTTTTGATTTGAATTGATTTAGTTTTAGCATATTTTTTTAATGGCAAAAATAATTTTATTTAAGAAATTATAAAATATAGATATTTAAATATGTATTTGTTTATTTATTTTAATAAAATGTTTTGTATTATGTTTATATATTATAATAGATTAGTAGGTTAGAAAGTTAGTCAACAAGTTAACCTTGTGCTATATATGTTGATAGCTTGCAAAAGAAGGCAACTATGAAGTGTCTATGTAAAAAACTTGCGTTGTAAGTTAAGATACGTATCATACAAAGTCAACATGTTTTGAAGGTCCTATAGAATGTCACCATATAGCTCGTAGGTAGATAGTATATATAGACATAAGAATGAAGCCTTTTTCTCTCTTATCAACTCTTTTCTTGCTTCTACTCTAGTTTCAAGAAGTCTCTAGTTTTCTTGTCTTTTGGCAATAGCCATTTTAATTACTTTTTAATATACATACTTCTTTATTTTTATTTTATCATACTTCTTTGAGAAAGTCTCACTTGTTTATTTGCTTTCATTGAGTTCTTATTCTTGATAGATTGACAAGAATATGCTTACAATATCAAAGCTTTGTCTTTTCTTCATTAAGAGTGGAATACTCCTTTTTCTTGATAAGACATAAGTATATTAGAAATTATGAATTATCTTCTTCTAATCTGATATTATTTTTAGTATTTTTTTTATTCTCAAGTTTTTTTTTTACTTATCTTGAGTAATATTAGACATCTCTTTCCTTCTAAGTATTATTGTAGTAGAGCTTGGCAAAATGAAGAGTGCAATGGTACAAATGCAAGAACAATTCATGGAGTTGATACTTGCAATACATCAATTCAATGTACCACCACAAGAAGGAATAAGAATATTAAAAAATAGGTATAGAGATGATAAGAAATGCTTCACATCTATACCAAATCATGTCCCTTCTCTTATGGTAGAATACCATTTAAGCATTAAAAAACCAAGAATTATCTTACCTAAGAAGTATGATGGTACAAGATTAAAGTTTCAAGGATTTGTTAATCAAGTATAACTATTAGGAACCATATACTAGATAAGATTCAAGATGAAGAAATGGAGTTAGCTCAACATTGGAACAATAACTGGATACAAAACAAGAAGGACTTGGCTAGATCATAAGAATTGAATTGTCAAGACAAAGGATCCCTTCAACCTCGACTCTTATATATATTAGATTCTAGGAAACTTCTTAAAAAGGTTCTATGAGGCTTAGAAATAAAGCAAGCTTAAGATCCTTCTTTGATAACTTCTTAAATAATCTAAAGCCTAATAGAACCTTCTAGGATCTCTTATGACCTTTTAGAACTTTCTTAAAATCTATTGGAACCTACTAGAACCTTTTAGGATATACAAGAACCTTCTTAGAACCTTCTTGAACCTTCTTTAGTTGTATATCTGTGACATCACATCCTCCTTTAGCTTTGAGATCTCTAAACAGAAATATTATTGTAAGTCAGTATATGAATTGTCGTATTACGTGCTTTCCTGTTCGAGAATGTACTAGGCATCTGGTTGTAGGAGGTAGTATGGAGATTTGCTAATATTCAAGCAGTCTATTGGTTTTTGACTATTGGAATATAAATGATTGCAAGAATATATCGTAAATCTATACGGATGTCCTTCGACTGCTCGCCGAAATCCCTTTTGTCCTAGTCGGTAGGTCTCTAGACCTTACAGAGAACCTCGAACAACCCAATCTGCTAATCTCCAATACCGCTTTATACTCACGACCTTGTATCCACTGACTATCTTGTTAGATTAATCCAAAAATTTTCATTCACTCCACATACTCAATCCTATAGACACCCTTTTAATTCTTCAATCATAGATGTAACTTTGATTTCACAAAATAGTTAAGAGTAATCACATCCACTTCATTAAAATCTGGATTTACCAGTACAATACATCGACCTTTTAGCATTGATTGCCAAAAGTCCCTTTTCTGACTCCTACCCAAAAACCTTGTATCCTCCCTTTTTTTTAACCTCCTTAATTTCCGAATCTCTGAATCCTCTCCTCCACCCTAACCATTTCTGAATGTTTTTTTCTCTCCTCTCAAACCCTAGCATCTGAATTTCTTCAATCTTCCATCTTTGATCCGGAATTGGCTCCGCCATCAGAGCTTTTTCTTCTATTTTTTGCCTTTTATAAGGTTCTTTTTTCAGAAACAACGTTCCCTGAAACGGCACAGAGAACAAGACAGCCTGAAACGGAATCGAAACCCCCATAATCAGGACCACATTGAGTCGCCTGATCAAATCAGGTCTCATATTGGCTAAGAGGCCTATAGTAAGACCTGGATGTTCCTGTAATTGGGTCAAATTGGTCCTTCACATCAGGCTCGATCAGTCATCGATTTAGTCCTTTTGATTCTGTTGACTCTTACTATTAGACTCGAACAGAGCATTTCGTTACTGGTAAGTATGCCTTGATCGACTGTGATGGAGTATCTAAAACTGGCCCCTGAATATTGGCACTGGAATCGGTCGTTGCTCCCAATATTTGAGGTAATTGAACATTAATAAAAGTCACTTTTCTTTATATTTTCACGGTATACTCATGTTACAACACGACATCTACCCCCTCTGAACCTGTGCATCCTCCAGTATGCACCAATTAACTTGCAAACCTCTATTAAAGAATCACAATCCTCTTTCATCCTTCCAATTGCATCAACTGTAGTCGGATCTGATTTTCTTCCGTAAGATCCACATAAATGTCCAACAATCACAACCTCTTGTACTCGAAATACGGACTTCATACCCGATAATGTAAGATGAACTTCTCCAAGCTAAGTTAAAATCTTTTCACAATCTTGTATATGATCAACAATATATTTGCGACACCCCCTCTTATCTAAAGTTTCATCCTTGTCTCCTTCTCTGCACCCTTTTATAGGAACATCATCCAGAAAAGGCATAGTCTTCTCTGGAATAAAATCTCTCAATATCTTATTCATCCCTTTCATCATATGCACAACTGAGTTGGTTGCGCCTTGAGGAAGAGTGCACATTCTAACCAATCCAAGTAGTATCCTCATCGTTGTCATATCTCTACTTCCTTCGATAAGTTGAAATTGATCATAACCTGAATACAAATCACCCATTGAATAGATCACCCTTCTTGCAAATGCCTCAGCAAATTCATCCACAATAGGTCCAATTCTTACATTCTTGACTGTTACTGCATTCACCGGTTGCATATCTTGAATAAATCGTAGTGACCCATTCTTCTTAGGTACCGTAAACCATCGACTAGAATACGGCACAAATGAGGGTTCCAATATTTTCATCTTTATCTTTTCTTTTAATAATTCTACTAATTTAGATAAATATGTCGTCGGTACTGGAATCGGTCTTAGATTCCAAGGTACATGCGATACAGTGAAGATAACCATAGGTGTTATAATATTCGGATCCACACACTCAATTTCATAAGATTCAAAGGCAAACGATCTACTTTGTTTAGCCAACATCTTTTTGAAGTAAGTAATTTCCTCTAGCAATAAAGAACCATCAGAACCAATCTTCAATTCTTCAAAAGTCTCTTTAGTAAACTGATGTCCAATTTTCATTGGATCTCTTAAACTTGCTTCTTTTGATGTTTCTCCCATTTGTTCTTTAAAATCTT